TAACTTATGAATACCTCTAAAACAGAGTAGTATTTGCTTTCAATTTTAACAAGACTTATATAATCTTTTAGTCCCCCCCCCCTTTTTAAGGATATTTTGAGGCTACATGTGGAAGCAATATCAAAGTTAACGTCAAGCAGCTGGGTATCATTTGGTTCAGTCTTCAGGTCAATGGCACTGACTCTTAGCAGAACTAATTTTATAATCATGGCAAAATTTCAGTAATGAACTGCAGTATACAGCTGATTACACCACAGTAAATTTCATTTAGTCTGGGAAACTGGAAAACCACGAGTTTTCTTGAGAATACTTAAATTGCAAAGCCTAACATGATCTCAATAGCAATTCTAATAAGAAAATTAGTGTGGGATGTGTATGATGGAAGTTGAATACCATGATTTGAGGTGAGGGGGGTCTGGTATAGTTTAAATTTTTTAAAAACTTTTTGTCATCCATTATTACCATGTAAGTAATTTTTAAAATTAGTAGCAAGCATATGAGTTCTTAAAAGAGAAGTGTTTCAGAATTGTAACTTGTACCTTCTTGGTAACACTTGACAGTTGATCCTTTTTCTGGAAGAATAATCAGGGTAATAACTTTTGCTAAGTATCTGTTACAGAGAACAGGAGAGAGGGCATATGTTTTAAAAAAGGCAACAAGTGTCAAAAGGCCAATTTAAAATACTCATTGGTAAGCTTAGTGCCTATATTTAGCATAATGGGCTCCCCCTTTTGACACTTTAATTAGTCTTTAATATGTTCCACCACAGGTGTAAAGAGGCATTTACAAAAGACAGAATACCAAAGCTATTTCTGGCATCAAAGATACTTTTTATCCTCAAAGCGAAAATACAAATTATTTCTTACATGTTCTTAAAAAGAAATGTTTTGTTTTCGTCCCATGATTATAGCAATTTCAACAATTGCAGTAATGGGAAAATGTTTTATAGATAGGAGTATAAATGCAATAAAGAAATGTTTTAAAGGAAACTATTCAATTTTTTAAAATGCTTTCAGGTGCTTAATTCTAAGGTACTGTTAACGCGCACAGCAGCAGTTTCGGAAGGCTTAACCTATCTGAGTGAAATTTTTATGGGTGCTTTGAATATGAGATTTCCATTGACTCTCCACACTCAATCTCTCTGATTATTTTCTGTCTTTACATTTCTTCACTGCTGATATTCATATGCTTTCTTTGTATTAGTGCGTTTATGACAATAGAGGAAAGCACCGTTTTAGAAGAAGGAGATATTGCTCTTGAACTGACTGAGCAGAAAATAAACACGATGGTCCTGGATATCTGCCACAAACCAGGTGGCAGCGAGTACCTGAGGCAAATTTATCACATCATGCAGCTCAATGAGGTAGGGAAACGGCCTTTTTACCGAGCAATTAGGTGTGTACTGGCCTGAGGCAGCGTCTGCTGGCAGCTAAGGGTTAGTCAAGGAGGTGATAATACTTCTTAAAGTCAATACCAAACTCAATATTGCATTATTAATAGAATCTATTCAGCCCCGGCTGCTCTGCATTTGTTCGAGAAAGCTTCTCTGAAACAATGTAGGTTTTATTTATATGATTTAAACAATAACACGGCTCATAAACTCAGTTCAATTCTGAATTGTGTAGACTGGAGGTGTAGTTTGGAAATTGTGTGTTTTGACCATTAAGCTGATGTTCAAATCTGGTGTTTATGAATTGAAGAATTTTCTGAATAAAGATGTAACCTTTCTCCTGGAGACATGTGTTGATGAACTTGGAGATTACTTATGTAATGAACAAGAAACTTCAGAAGAATATTGATACATATTCAGGAACAAATAAATTAACCCAAGAAAATTCACTAATACACAACACTGATTAGAACCAGTGTTAGGCTTTTCCACCTCTCTGCTGGGCTAAGCCTCTAACCTACATTATGCATAAGCAAAAAAGTATAAAATAGTTACTGGAAATAACACAAGTTTTAAAACGTAATCAGATTTTTAAATTTATTGTATACATCTTATTTGGGTACATATATTTTCAGACACATAAATGTATATTTGAATAATAAAAATGTATAGGATAAAGATATCATTTCCCCCCCATAAGGTAGGTCTTAAAAACCATAGTGAATGAAATTCTACCATAGCATTTTATAACTCAGTTATGGAAATCTCCTCACTTTTACATTTCTGCACATTGTGTCAAGTCCATCTTATTTCAGGTGTTCATAGACTCAGTCAAGCAATATATGAACAGGTAGAAGTTGACATAGTAGGGTATTCAATGATAGCCTGTGAGAAGGATGTGAGAAATTTGTAGCTGTGAGAAATGAACCTGTCTGTAAGTCACTAGAGCTCAGTCTGTAACAGTCACTCTTGCTAATGATTCCTCATACGTACTTTGAGTTTCCTATGTGAAGAATACAGGATGTCCCCTTGCCTGGCTGAAAGTTTCACATTGTAGAGTCCTGTGCATCACTGGTATGCCTAACTGGCTACCCAGATTAGACAAAATAACACTGGTGACTAGTGATGAGCAAGTATAGCTGATTGCCCTTGGGTTCTCAGGTAAGGGTGATTACATGAGTTTGGAGGATAGTAATGACTGATACAGTTTGGCAGTCATTATTATCCAATGGAATTGATACCATTTAAAGAAGTCTAAAAAAAAAATAAAGAAGTCTTTAATACAAGATCAATGACCACTAATACTGAGAATAAAGCTACTGTTGTTAGTTATCATCAATTCGAGAAGAGCCCATAGTTACTCTGTGAACAACAGATCTGAGCCCTGTCATATCCTGTGTCATCCTCACACTTCCTGACACATTAGAGCCCATTGTGGCAGACACTAGCCATTTGCTAGATGATGAGAATCCAAGGCTATTCTTATCCTCTTAGAACTCATGGAGGCAAGGCTTATCAACAGCTGTGCTATTATGCTCACATAGATCTGGTATAGGTAAGACTCTGACTACTCAACCACCATATTAACTCAAAGTTTCCCCCCTAGACTATCACTGAATGTCTATTTGTGTTTTATTGACTATGCAAAAGCATTTGAATGTGTGAGTCACAAAAAAATTTATGACTAACATTGAGTAGAATGGGAATCTCGGAACTCACACTTATGCTGATATGAAACCTATATGTAGACCAAGAAGTTGTTGTCCAAACAGAGCAAGGAAACACTGCCTGGTTTAAAACTGGGAAAGTTGTGTGTCAGGGTTGTATCCTTTTCCCATACCTGTTAAAGATATACTGAGAAAATAATTAAAAAACCTTGACTCTATGATCAGGATCAGAGGAAGATTCATCAACAACCTGTATTAGGCAGAATTTTACTTGCTAAAAGTGAGGATTTGAAACATTTTCTGCAGAAGATCAGAGACTACAGCCTTTAATGTGGATTGCATCTCAACATCAAGAAGACAAAAATCCTTACCACTAGACCAATAAGCAACATCATGACAGATGCAGAAGAGATTGAAGCGCTCAACGATTTCATCTTACTCGAAACCACAGTCAGCATCCTTGGTGCCAGCAGTCAAGAGATCAAGAATCATATTACATCAGGCAAGTCCACTGTCAGAGACCCTTCCAAATTACTGAAGAGCAGTGATGTCAGTTTGAAGACCAAAGTGTGCTTGATTCAGGCAGGCCATGGTCTTTTCAGCCACTTGCTATGCATCTGAAAACTGGGCAAAGAATAAGGATGAGAAAAGAATTGATGCTTGGAACAGTAGTGTTGGAGAAGAGTAGTAAATATTCCATGGACTACCTGAAGAACAAACAGATATGTCCAGGAAAGGGTGTAGCCAGAATCCACTTAGGAGGCAAAGATGACACAGTTTTGTCTCACATACTTTGGCATATTGCTAAGAGAGGTTATTGCTTGGAGAAGGACTTTATACTTGGAAAAGTAGACGAGCAGCAAAAGAGAGGAAGGACCCTGATGAGATGTATTCATACAATGACTGCAGCAATGAACTCAAGTGTGTCAGAGACTATGAATATGGCACAGGATAGGACGGGGCTCAGATCTGTTGTTCATAGGGGCATTCTACTCAACTATGGAACCTAACAACACAAACCACTGACTATATCTATTGAATGTGTTGTTAAGCTAAGTAGCTGATGGTTTACTGAGCCAAGCAAAATACAGGAACTGTAAATGTTAAGAAACATAACGTAAGGTTAGGCTAAATCCAAAGAAAATAATGACATTTTTGTCGGGTGACTATGTAAAAGCATATACACAAACACACAGAGGCAATAGACCTAATTAACAATGTGCGGGTCACCAAATGACTCAACTCATTGCTGTTGAGTCAGTTACAACTCTAAGCAGTCCTTTATTTGGTTCATAAGCTTGTAAATTTTTCTAAAATTTTATATACTTATTTTGCATACAAAATTTGTATACATTGTGTTAGGAAGGAGACTGCTATCTCTCTCCCAATGAGCTGTTGCTAGTGGAGTCTTATTACCAGAGAGCTGCAGCCTTTTAGTTAGCAGTGCAAATATGCGGTCCATTGTGCTACCAGAACCCCTAGCCTAGTGACTACTATAGTACTTGCTGCTTTTCTGGATACTGTGAGGCATGTCTTTGTACATGAAAAAGTACTGCAATTTGGCTTAGTTGATGAATACTGCTATGAGTCTTTATTTCAAAATGTCACTTAAATACAGAAGCATTTTTGGTGCAAGCCTGAATGCGGAAAAAAAAAGGATATTATTGATAGAAACAGAGAAGTTATGAGGGGGAATGGGTTTAAAAAAATCTTTGAGACAAAGGCAATATGTTCAAGCATAATGCCCAATTGGCAATTGTAGATGTTTGCCCAGGTGAGAAAGGCTGTGATTTTGGACTTGGTGGTCCTCCGTGACGGTGGTAGTTGGGTTCATGAGTGTGTGGAACTCTTCTGTTGACACAAGTAGGCAAACATTGAATAGAGACATGAACTTTGAAGTAACTGCAGAGGGATGGTGTAAAGAATAGAAGCTAACTCAAGAAATATGCCAGATAAAGAAAAAGAAATCTATTTAAAGTCATGCTATATGAAAGGAGTCTAGAGCTTTCAAGAAGGGTAGTGTCAGAAGTTACCACTCATCTAACAGGTTATCTTAATGAAGTCCCTTCTGTGTTGCTGTGATATTTGAACCTATGCTAGCAGTGTTTCAAATATCAGCAAGGTCCCCTCTGATAACCAAAGAAATAATGTATGATTTACAGTCAGGAAAGATATGTGTCAGAGTAGTATTCCTTTATCAAACATACTCGGTTTGTATTCTTAGCAAATAATCCAAGAAACTCGACTAAATGAAGAATAAACACTAGAATCGTAGGCCGACTCATCAACAGCTTCCTTTATGCAGAAGACACAAACTTGCTTACTGAAAGTGAAAAGGACTTACTTGTAACACAAAGTCTGTGGTCTTCAGTGTAGTGGACACCACTACATGAAGAAAATAGAATTCCCTGTTACTAGACCAATAAGCAAGCTGATGATAAAAGGAGAAAAATTGAAGATGTCAAGAATTTCATTTTATTTGGATCCACCATCAAGGCCATGGAAACAGCAGTCAAGAAAACAAATAAAATTCTACATTGGGAAAATCTGCTGCAAAAGATCTCTTTAAAGTGTTTGAAAATCACAGATGTCACTTTGTAGGTATGTCTGGTCTAACTCATTATATTTTCATTCATTTCATGAATATAGAAAAGTTTAACAGTGAATAAGGAAAACCAAAGAATGGGTGGCTTTTAATTGGAGTGTTGAAAAGAATATTAAAAATATTGTGGACTGTTAAAAGAACAAACAAATCTCTCTTGGAGGAAGTACAGCTAGAACTCACCTTTGGAGTAAATATTCAAAACTTAGTCTCACATGCTATAGACTCGTTAACTCTAGAGGAACTAGTCCCTGAGAAAGGAAACTTGTGCTTAGAAAAGTAGAAAACTGAGTAAAAAGAAGACTCTCAGTGAAATGAATTGACACAATGACTGAAACAATGGGCTTCAGTATAACAGTGATTATGAGGATGACATAGTGATCTGTTCTGTTGTGTATACAATTTCTATGAGTCAGAACCAACTCAATAATCCTAAAACAAGTATCCATTAACAAGGCTTCCCTAAGTAGTGGACACAGATAAGTGCTTGGCTCCTAAATAAAAGGTTAGAGGTTCAAGCCCATGTTAAGGTACCTAAGAAGATCTAGTTACTGAAACAGTCATAGTTGCTAGTGATGAGTGCTAATATAGCAGAGAGGTCAACAATGAGGAGAAAACAGCATCTTGAATGATAGAGACAAAGGAAATCTAAATACATCTTGTAAGGGGAAATTAAGAAGCCTTGGTGGTACAACAGTTATGCATTTAGCTGTTAACCGTAAGATTGGAAGTTTAAATCCAATAGCAGCAAAGGAGAAAGAACTGCTCTTGTGAAGTTGCAACCAAGAATACTCCATGGAAAGTTCTAGTTTTTCACTGAGGTCACTATGAGTTTGATCTAGGCAACACCCAATAACAAAGACAAAAGAGTATTATTGGGGTTAGGGGGAAGGAGGGGTTTTACCTACATAAATTATGATAGTGAAAAATTTTGTTCCTATTCAATATCTGATTCTGAACCTAAAGTTCTTTTCTGATGGCTGTAATGATAGTCAGTAAGAGGTGCTACATGTGTGTGGTAGGCTCTACAGGATCCATTTTTCTAAAGAGCTTTGGTTGGACAACCAGTAGATTTAAGAAATTACTACCAAATTGTGCAACCCTGGTGGGTGGAGGGAGGGAGCGCAGGAAATGGGAAAGATCTGGCTGGGACCTGAAAGGACAAGGTATTGATGGACAAGGTCCAATGGTGATAAATTTTCTAAAACATAATACGTGGGAATGATTGTATAAAACACAATATGAATCAAGAATAATGTGACACATAATGTATACAAACCTGATAAGCAAACCAATAGAAAATGTAAGGCATTACTATCATCCTTGTTAACTTACGTGCTGGTTTCTTCAGATTTGAGATCTTCAGGATTTGCAAGTTGCTTTGATCAGTGAGGATAGCATGCACTCTCTATTCATTAAGTTAGAGAGGCTCAGGGAAAAGCAGTCAGAGGTGACACTTCTTGGCCTGACACTACTTCTCACCCTCGTGTAATTCCTGATTGAAAAGTCTGACTCTGAAAAGAGTAAACCAAGAGGTGCGGTGTGAACAGAGCAAGGGAACATTACATGGTTTAAAATGAAAAAAACAAAAAAAACCCCATGTGTCAGAGTTGTGTCCTTTCTCTGAACCTATTCCGTCTGCGTGCTGAACAGAAAATTTGAGACGATGGACTCTATGAAGAGGAATGTGGCCTCAGGATTGGATGACATCTCAATCTTTTGTGTTATGCAGCTACTATAATCTTCCTTGCTGAAAGTGAGGACTTGGAAGTGCTTAGTGAAAATGTTCAAAGAATACATCTTTCAATATGAATGACATATCTAAATCAAGAAAACAATACTTCTCATCATTGGGCCAACAAGCAACATCATGATAGATGGGGAAAAGATTGAAATTCTCAATGTCTTCATCTTACTTGGATCCATAATCAACACATTTGGCACCAGCAGCATCAGGAGACATAATGCATTGAGAAAATCTCAGTCGGGGACCTCCAAATTGCTGAGGAGGAGGGATGTCAGTTTGAAGACTAGGGTCCTCCTGATTCAAGCCATGGTCTTTTCAATCACTTGCTATGCTTCTGAAAACTGGACAAAGAATGAGGATGAGAGAAGAATGAATGCCTTTGAACTGTGGTGTTGAAGAAGAGTACTGAATATCCATGGATTGCCAAAAACCCAAACATATTTTGGAGAAGGTGTAGTCAGAGTACTTCTGGGAGGCAGAGATGACAAAACTTCGTCTCACATACTCTGGGCATATTTCTAGCAGAGGCTATTACTTGGAGAGGGGCATCATGCTTGGAAAGATGGAGAGTCAAAAGAGAGGAAGACCCTTAATGAGACAGATTGACACAGTGACTGTTGCAGTGAGTTAAAGTGTGTCAGAAATGATTAGGATTATACAGAACAGGACAGGGTTCAGTTCTGTGGTTCATTTGGTCTCTGCGAATCCTACTTAACTTGATGGCACCTAAGAACAACTACAACATAAACACAAGACTTGATTGATTCATTTTTAAAAATAGATCACCAGGCCTTTCTTCCTTATGCTGGACTAGATATTTTCAAACTTTCATGTGCTTACCAATACCCTGGAAAACCTTGTCAAACATCAGGTGAGGCATTCATTAGATTATGCTTTTTAAACAAATTCCCAAATGATACTGAGTCAGCTAGACCAAGTTTATGCCTTTTATCCTGACCCTGACCTTGCTTAAAAAAGTATACAGTGGTAAAAATATATATATAAAGGATAAAAATATATTACTTAATTTTTAAGTGACTTGCCTATGAATAATAACCAATTGATTACTTAGGGGTGATTAGATTATGCTTTTTAAACAAATTCCCAAATGATACTGAGTCAGCTAGACCAAGTTTATGCCTTTAATCCTGACCCTGACCTTGCTTAAAAAAGTATACAGTGGTAAAAATATATATATAAAGGATAAAAATATATTACTTAATTTTTAAGTGACTTGCCTATGAATAATAACCAATTGATTACTTAGGGGTGATTTGTTGTTGTTGTTTTAATCTGTTGTCATCCCAGAAAGAGTCCTATCAAGAGATTAGGATTGTCCACTCTATTTACTTATGGATGGAAAATGAAGTATCGTGTAGTAGATTAACTCTTTTGCCCAAATCTTCACTGGCAGTTGAAAGAGCAGAAATGCACATTTTGAGCTTCTATTAACCTTAATGCTTTTCAGTGCACAATATGGAAATAGAGTTTGAGGAACATTGTAATTAAGTTTCAGCAAATGAGACCAATCACAGAAAATCTTAGTGGTGCAACAGTAAAGCATTCTGTTTCTAACTGAAATATTTATGGAGAAAATGCTAGTGATCTTCTTGTATAAAGATTACAATGAAGAAAACTCTGTGGCAGTTCTGCTCTGTTCCACGGGATTCCTATGAGCCAGAAGTGAATTGACAGCACCCAGCAGTGCTCCGCTGAGCCTGGAATAGCTGGCAAGTGAACTTAATGAATGAGTGAGCAGTCTTGTACTAGGAGTAAACATATACTCGAATTAACAAACATCTTGATAACCAGGCATGTTTGCATATGAATCAATTTTTTTAAAAAAAAGTCTGAAGACTAGAGCGTACATTAGTCCCACTAGAGTTTGTTAAATGATCTTCTCATCTATATTCTGTGTTAAGTAAATCTGTTTTTGATGGGTTTATTACAAGGCTGCTGTGTACATAGGTATAAACTCTGTTGTGCATCTTCTTAAAATGTCTTCTATCTCAAGGCAAGTCATACACTGGAACCTAGAAAATGGTGAAAGGGGACATTTGGATATTGATTCGTTTATTTTTAGAGAGAACATATACTCATCGTCATCAAGACTTGTAATTTTTTTTTCTCCTTGAAGGAATATTTGAAAGAACAGCTGTTTTCAATGAGTAGTTCAGAGGAAAAGCCATTACCGATCCGACCTTTAAAGATGACCTTGAGGCGAGTGGAAGCTCAGCCTTCTGCCTTTAACCCTTTCCATGTGCATAAGGTGTTTAGTGAAAACATGCTTGATCAGGTATGTGAATATTAGATGGCAAATGTAATTTATATGTGTGGTTCTTTACACAAGAAAAAGATTTTTTGCCTTTACCCAAAAGCTTTTTGCTTAGCTGCGTCCTTGTCTTTATTTGCATGATCTGCACAAACTGACTTTGAGAAAGTTCTTTTACTGTCTTTTAATTTGTCAAACTGATTCATTGGTTTGGTGTGTAAAACTTAACCTTTGACCAGGTCAGTTTACCGCGGGCAGAAGAAACATCTGTTAGGCTATGTCTATGGAATCTCTGAGAAACGAGGCATTTTGAACCATCTTTCCTCCTCCTGGATCACTGCTTTCCCATCTCTAATAGGTATACCATTAAAATACCTTGCAGCCTTCAAGAATATGTCAGGTCAAATAGTAAATGGTTTACTTTCAAATTATTTATGAAGAAGGCATTGAATTTTTATCTTAAGCAATGTGGAGTAAATTTGCTTTTCATAGTCCTAGAGACACAAATTCTTTCATTTATGATGAATTTGCTAACATTATTAAAGTCACGATATCTGCTATAAGATCACTATGATAAACATGACACATTTTTCCAATATTTGATCGTGCTATTGTCTTAATAGTTATTTTAAAAGATCATATTTCTGCCAAAGGACTTGCCATGTCAAGTTGTTTTTGTTTTGTCCATTCTTTGGCCAGCTTTTTCCAAACGGTTCTTGACAGCCAAGCTGAACTAACAGGACAGAAGAGAAGGATTACCTGACCTAGAGCTCTGACGAAAATAAAAATTAAAACAATGGCCTAATTCGGGATGCAGATAATATTTTTACCATGCCTGTTACAGCTCTAGTCTACACTCATCAATACTGTAGTAGAATAAGACCTTCAAATGCTGACAACCCAGGGCAGAATTCTCCTGCTGTCTGACAGGATTGTAGTGCTCAATTAATCAGCAGGTGACAGGGGATAGTTCTTGTCGGATTTTAAACATCTGTCTAGACCCTTCTTATCAAAACTATTTCATTTTAAGGAGCATAAGCATCTATAATGCTTTAAAACCAAATAGCTTTTATAAGTTTGAGTTTATTGGCTGCTTTCCTGTATTATATATTAGATTGCTCCAAACCATAAATAATCATTGTAGCTGTTCAATTATCCTTACTTCATTTAAATAAATGGCATGTTTTATTGAGTTCTGAATTATGAGCTTATTTTTCACAGTAATTTTTCTCCTTGGTTGTGAAATTGTCTATTACAAGGGGAAAAAAATCATCTCTGTTTTTTCTATTTACAAGTCCTTGTAATCTTTGCTTTAATGCATTTCTTCACCAAAAGGGATAACACTAATATCAAACTTTAATAAAGCAGTGTCTTGTAATTTAAGATTTAATGCTTCCAAGTTTGTTCTTTAATCCACATCCAGGTGCTAAAAACCACTAAATTGCTGTAAATATGGGAAAAGTTGTCACTTAGTTTTCCACAGAGTCATTCTTTCAGAGTAACTTTTTTGGGCAAATGTCATTAATACTTGGAAGAATAACGACTCGGAAAATTGATTTATATTTTTATAAATAATGACTACATCCCCAAATGGATTTATAAATTAATTGCTGTCTTATTGGAATAAAATCTTCTTCTGTGGACATGATTGATGTTATCTGTCTAAGTCCTTGTTCTGGACCCCCCTCCTTCATAGTTAGTCTATCACAGCTGGAGCTTTAATTTACTGATCGTATTAACTCTGATTAATAACCAACAATAGCATCTTCCCATTTATCAACAGTCAGTCATCACAAAATGGAACTGGAATTGGTCAAACTTGCTGCCAAATTACCTGAGACTGGATAAAATGACCTTCGGTACACTGTTCAAAAACAGGTAATAAGATTGGGGATCTTGAGGGTCTGGTGGGAGAGAAAGGTTGTATACATATTTCCCCAGCATATTTTTAAGAGAAGTGAAAACATTATACCAGAAGGATAATATCTTTTCTTTTCCTTCCTGTCTTTTCTTGCTTCTGAAAAGAATGGTCCATGGTATATCAAATATCCTTTCTAAATGCTCTTTTTCTAGAGTAAGCATCTGTAGGGGACAGTTAAATTCGTTTCTGAGATGAACTCAGTTGATTTTAGGCTGAGTTTCAAATACGTTTGACTTTGCCTATGTAATAGTTAGGTACTGTAAACACTAAAAGTTAAAGGCTTGAATGTCATTATAATAGTATACCTTTGTTTACAAACAATTTAATGAGTGTATACAAAATGCCAAGCCAAATCAGTTAGTGTCTAGTCAGGGGAAACATATAAGTAAAACTGTCATGATTAAATTTTTCACTTTTCAGCCAGTTATTTTGGCACCACAGGGCAACCCAATAAAATTAAAATCTAATTTCAGTCGAGATGCTCACATATGTAATTTGTTTTGCTCCAAAGAGTAACATTTTCTTCACATTTTAGATCAATTAACATTTTTTGTACCTCTGAAATTTTCAGTAAAGAATTTTAAAGTTTGCATTTTAAAAATTGGATTTCCCTAACAAATTTCATATTTTCAAATAAGTATATGTGTGACTATTGCGTGTTTGCTTATAACTGAATATGGGGGTGGGAAGTCTTATATATCATCTTTGTGATGTAGAATGGATTGCCATTTCTTTGTGCAAAAAAGTAGGGTGCCATTTTTCCTAACAGACCATAATGACAATGACATAGTAGAATTGTCAAATTATCCTTGAGAAATTGGGGTGCATATTAGGAAACATAGAGATTGCAGGATTTCCCCAATCAAGATTAGGGGTGGAGTAGAGAATAAAACAGCTAAATTGCCAATAAAAGCTATGATTTGGATATACGGTCACAATGGGCTTCTTCGTATTTCACCCCTGAATGAAACTCATGCACTCATCATGAGTGGGACTTAGTAGTCTGAAGCTTCCACACCAAGAATAGAGACTTGCCCCGAGCAAGCTTAGCACCTGGTATGCAGCAGTCCAGAATGTACCCAAGACCTCAGATAAGTTCCTCTCTTCTCCCAAGGCCATTTGAAGAGGGGTGGGGGTAGAAGGTGGGCACAGTAGAGAGGAAGCCAGGCCCTGTGGTGAACTTAAGAGTTCATGATGCTCACACATTACCAGAGACCCATCTGGAAACAACTGACAAAGGTAAGTAACCTTTTTCTACTATTTGGAAAGGTTTGAGTTTGTGTAGATTAACTGTATTTTACTGTATTTTTCAACTGTATATTACTGCTTCCAGTCTACTAAATGGTACTCTAGGGACAAGAAAGATTGTGGCACAGCCTTCAAAATTTATTACAATTTACTTAGTTTAATATTCATTCTTAAGTGAATTTTTGTTTTAAACAAGAATGCATATTTTTATTTTTGTTTAACAACTTTAGATATACTTTGGCAGGCCACAAGCGGTTAGTCTCTTCCCTGAGAGTACTGTGTGTAGCAGTGAGTAGGGAAAGAAGTTTTCACAGATGTAGTGAGAAATAACAGGTCAAAACTGTTTTCTTGGAAAAAGGTCATAAATTTTTAATAGAAACTGCTGGAATCTCATCTTAATAAGAACCTTAGATTTTTAAAAGAATGGTATGAGAGGCATTCTGCTCTAAACTACCACACACCACAAGCTACAATGAACATAATTGATCTACCTTAGAAGGATAAAAGACACCTGAGAGTTTTTAATCTCTTCTAGGACTTTCCCTTTTATTTTAAGAATGTTGGTCTTATGAAACGTGATTAATAATGAATTGGTAAGAAAATTGTTTCTGTTGTTTTCTCCAAGAGGCTCTTTTTATTTGGACTTAACCTGAAACTTCCAGGGTTTTTGTGATTTGGGGTTGGGGTTTCTGTATTTTTGTTTTTGTTTGTTTGTTTGCTTGTTTTAGAGCTTTGGATTTTTTTTTTAACAGCATGGTTATGTAAAAGACCCATATTTGAAAATGAGACCATAGAACATAAGGCTTCTGGAGTGAGAGTTATATATGTCAATTATACACCTGAAAAGTAGTATTTCTTGCCTATAACCATGTCGTGCATGGTTTGGGCATGTTGTTGGTAAAGGCTAGTCCTAGGGAAAAGATACTGTGCTGGAACGAGTGGAAGGTCAGTAAAAGAGACATTGACACGATGGCTGCAGCATTGGACTCAAGCATACAGAGACTATGAGGATGGTACGGGATTGGGCGGAGCTCAGACTTGTTCACAGGATCTCTATGCGTGGTAGTTGACGCTATGGTGTTTCTCATGCCAGAACTCACTTATTACACTGGCTACGTGCTTCTTTTTGTACCTCGTTTATTGGTCAGATGGGTTTTTTGGGTAAGGAATCATACTTCCCACTCAAAGATGCATGGTTTGAATCTGCCAGCTACTCCCGAGTAGAAAGATGGGCAGTCTCCTCCTGTGTGATTTACATTCTCTAGGTCAGCTGGAGAGTTGGCTATGGGTCACAGTTCTGCTGTAATGGTAAGCTGCAGCACTAAGGGAGCTCTGGCAATTCAGTCCATAGAGAGTGTTGCTGGTAACCCAATAATGGTGGTTCTTTGGTGGTTCAAATCTGCCCGCAGGTCTGAGGGAAAGGATGTGCACTCTCCTCCTGAGCGATTTATATTTTCTCAAAAGCTTACTGGAGGATCAGCTATGAGTCAATTCCTATTATAAGTAATGAATGTGATCTCCAAACTGTGGTATATTGTACACATGGGGGGAGAATGTTTTCTGAGGACATAATGTTTGAGAAAGGAACTTAAATAGGCAGATAAGAGGAAAGGTCAGGAAAATGAAATACTTTTATTCATCTATTAAATTCCTTTGTACCTAGCCCAAGGTGAGTGATTTTAATCTGCTGCCCTTAAGCCTGATTCAAAAAGTATTTTTGTCAAACATTCTTCTAGGTCGTATAGCACTGGTCTGTGCATTGCTGTACAGAGGTAACTCAGGTTTGTTGTGATGCTAAACTCTGTGACACTGATATGTCAAATATGATAATGGTTACCCATGGTGGACAGTGTTCGGTGGGGTTTCCTGATTAAAACAAGCTTGAAAGCAGGAGCAGTATCCACTTCCTAAATGGCTTGCCTCTGGAAACTCTAGAACAGTGCTCAGGTCTTTTGTTCGTAGGGTCACAATGAGTCATCTACGTCTCGACAGCACCTAACAACAACAACAACAACCTAGTCTTAAGCTTCAATATAATAAAAAGAATATTTATGTATTTTTTCCTCTAAAAGAAAATATGTCTGAAGTGAACTAGATCTCTTCACACCCAAAACAGGAGGGAGCTGGACAGCCAAGATTCCTGGGTTCTCAGACCAATACTTCAGTGAGCTTCTCTTACAAAAGTTATCTCACTTCTTGAATTTGCCATTTTTCATCTTTAAAAGAAGAATAATAATAATAGCAGCAGCTAAGTATTTTATTCATGAGATTGTTGGACCAACCAAGAATGTTAAAGGGTATGTAAGGGTTAATGAACCCTAAAAACACAATATGAACTTAGTAAAGTAAGTAACACTAGTATTTAACAGCAGTATTAGTATTTGGCCAGTTAAGGCAATTGAAAAGGCTATTAAGATCAGAGAACTGGCTGTGCAAGTAACTATGCAATCAGACTGCCAAAGCTATGTGGATTCTAGGCCTACACCCATGCTGAGGGTCAGAACAAGGGTCAGGTCATAGACCAGCAGTGAGCCCAAAGGCCTGAAAGACACAAACAGTGGGAAGATGATCAAGGAGGAGGGCTTGTAGAGGGGACTTGAGGCACAAGCTCGAACACATGAAAAAGGAGCAGTATAGTACTGAGGATATCTTTAGGGGCCCTGGTGGCATAATCCATAGGGAGTTGTACTGTTAGCCCCAAAATTGCACCTCTCTCTTGGTTCAAATCCATCACCAATTCCATGGGAGAAATTTCAGTCTTTTCCTGTGTGATATTTACAGGCTCTGAAACATGCTAGAAAGTCAGCTTTGAGTAGATTCTTACTCAACAGTGATGAGCTGAGACTTCAAGAAATGTATTGAGTTTCAATAAATCATCAATTTACTATGGATATTATATACTTCAAAGGTATCCTTAGTTCAATTCCATGAAATTTCAACTCAGTAACTATGGCATTGGAGTGAGGTTGCCGAGTTCTTTGGATTAGAATCCAGTTGTAGAAGTCTCATGTGACAGGGTAGAACTATCCCTAGGGGTTTCTTTCAGGAAACAGATAGCTAAATCTCTCTCCATGATGCTGCTGGGAGGGTTGGAACCATCAGCCTTTCAGTTAGTAGTCAAGTGCTTAAATGTTGTATCACCAGGGATTTTTATGACAGTATTTGAATCTGTTAAATGATATTAAAAATGCAAGTAGAAAAACTCAAAGTAGAGTTAGTAACTTAAGTGTCCTGCCAAGCCTTTGCAAACAAATAAGAAATTATTTTCAAGGTAATTGAAAAATGATGCAAGAAGTGAACCCTTCAAAAGGAGATCCTGAACATATAGAAATGACATATGCCTTTCAACTTAGGCAGTTCACTATTGTTGAAAAGAAAGACTCCTTGGAGGTTCAGAAAATCAATGTATATATCAGTTCTACACCTTTACCTCTAAAGCTCTATGAGAGTAAGTACAACGGTTGTACATTGATCTTTTTAAGTAATAACCATACCCTGCACAGTTTCTTACTCTTGGTTTCTTTCTTTCTTTCTCATATTAAAATAAATCCAGAATACCAAATGAGAAGGTGATTGCTTTTGCAAGTGGGTTTACAAAAAGAAACACTCCATCCCTTCATTCGTGGCGAGTCTCCAGATTGCCACTTTGATATTGTTTGCTTTGTCACTGGAACAAATTTATATGGCTTCTTTTCTCTTTACCTTGTTT